TGAGATAGGGTTTCATTGCACAGTTTTGGCTGACTGTGAACTCACTATGTAGCCCACAGTGGCCTCAAAGTTGCAATGATCCTTTTGCCTTAGCCTCCTGCAAGCTGGAATGACAGGTGTATGCCACAATGCCCAGCCCTTCCTTTGATTACTGACCTTTGAAACATGTGATGAACTGTGCTGGACACTGGGAACAAGGTGAGCATGGACCCTGTCCTTGGGCCTTCACAGCCTGGCCCCTGGATACAGAACCCGGCCCAGTACTCCCAGAGTGCCTGCATGTGTGTGTGTGGTTTTTCCCTTCCTCATCCACAAATCCCTCAAGGACAAGGATCAAAGCACCTTGCAAAGTTTGGCACATAGTAGGGCCTCACACATCACACATGTGGAGGTGACTGAGACACATCCTGTCCTGCTCAGGAATGTGAAGTTGCCCTGAACAGCTAGGAAGGCATCACTCTGCAGCTCAGTCCCAGGGGCACCCCAGCGTGACCTCTTCTGCCCAGATCCCATCACACAGACTGCTGTCCTTGTGCCGCCTCCCAGCAGCCCCTGTGCCTATCACCCTCAAGCACAACTGGAAACCCAGGAGACCCGCATCCCTCCTTGTTGGCACAAGCACTGCCGTGCCTGGAAGCTCTACTTTGCCATGTGAAAATGTTAATTAGAAACAACACTAATTGGCACAAATGTTAATGCACGAATGTTTAAACTAGCATTCTGGGCCCAGCAAGGCAAGGCAGGTGACACACAGCCTCCCTCCTGCCCTGCCTATCTCTAGTCCCCCAGGACCCTGAGAACTGTACTTGAGGGAACTCTTCAATGTCTGCCACTCACTGAGAATAAAAAAGTAAATGTGCCCATCTTGGAGCAGAGACATGGGTCACCTGCTAGACACAGCATTGCTTTTCTTCCTGCTTCAGCCTGACACTGTGATCACTGGGTCATGTGACCAGAGCTGCCATTTCCAGAGGTGGACTCTGTGACTTTTCTGACTTTTCCATATCTGTTTGTTTAACGCAGGACCTGGTCTTGCCCTGTGTCTTTGCTCGTCCTGCCCAGGACCATTCAGAGACCTCACAGGCTCCCCATCAAGTTCCAACCTAGTCCTGCCAGGAGAGATCCTGCGGTCCTGGCACAGCCCCTGGGAAACCTACACAGTTGGGTACTCCCAAGTTCCCATTCCTGCTTCCGGGAGAGAAGTGAGACCTCCGCCAACGCACTTGATAGGCACTCCATGGGATCACAGCGAGCAGGCTTGTGACACACCTTTCCTGAAGCTGCAGTCTGATTGAGGCCCTGCACCTGAGAAGGAGAGGTGCCACAGTGGGGAGGGGGGCAGAGACTTGAGTTCCATGTCTAGCTTCACCTTAGCGACCATGTGAATTTGAGAAACTCCTTGCATCCCAGTAGCATGGTTACTGGGTGAACAGAAGAATTCAGTACAATCACACATACATGATGCTCATCACAGAGCCTGGGGCACAATGCCCTCACCAAGGCTGCCACGTCTCTGGTCTAAGTGTTGTACACAGGCTAACTTACTTCACGCAGAACCGTCTGATGAGCCAGGGAAACCAATGTACAGAGAGGCTCCATCACTCCCCAGAGCTCTCAGCATGTAAGGGGCCAAGTACACAGCCATACCAAGAGAAGCCTGCTTGAAAGCATTCTCAGAGCCATCTCACTATGCCTGCCCTGAGTGTCAGACATCACAGACCAAGGCTGCCTGCCCAGCGTTGGCCCTGGATCCCTCCCAGAGTCCCTTGATATCTCACCCTACCCAGATCACATCAGAACCTGCCACTCAGGCCACATGTTCTCATGTGAGAGGGAGAACATATGCCCGCTCTCGATTCTTCCACATGCATGTGCATGTGTGCCTCTGTGTGTGTGTGTGTGTATGCATATGCGCACACATGCACAGATGCTGTGAGCAACAAGGAACAAGCCAAAGAGCTAGCAGGAAAAAGCCAGAGACAAAGAGATGTTGCTGCCAAATCCCTCTCACCTCTGAGAAAGACAGAGAGAGAGAGAGAGAACAGGAGGGAAGGGGGAGAAGTGTGAGGGTTGAATGTGTATGAGGCTCCTTGGCGGCTATGAGAGGGGCTGTGAATTTCAGAAGTTGATCAGGAGACAGGCTGCCTCCTCACTGCAAATGTGGCTGTGCAAGGGAGAGTGTGTACCCCCAACACCTGTATGTTTGAGTGGTGAGTCATGAGTGTGCATCCATGAGCAGTTCAGACCATCAGTGGTGATAGTCCCACCCCAGGACAAATGGTATAAACACAGCTGAGCTTCAAACAGGCCTCCAGGTGACTTTGGTGGCTGGCAAGGAGGACAGTCAGGGCGGGGAGGAGGGGCTGCTGGATGAGAAGAGAAATCAGTGAAGGCACACGCTGGGCCAGCAGAGAATTGGCCACCTTCCGCAGCCAAGTCGTCCTGGAAGCTGAGTGACAACTACTGAGCAGTCCTTAGACCAGAGCCAGGCCTTCCCCAGGGGCACAGGCCCACTTTTACTCCGAGGCACTGATACTTTATTGATCATGAAACAGCCTGGAGGCAATTGCAGTCATGGCATTGAAAAAGCAACTTTCCTCCCTCTCTGTTCCTTTCTGGCCTTCCAGATGTCCTCACGGAGAAGGCTGTCCCATCTGGGTGGTGGTGCTCTGGTCCCATGATGGTGCAGCCAGAGGCCCTATGATGCTAGGACCCCTCCTCAGATCCCCCTAGGAGCCATGTCCTGCCTTGGGGGCACAGAACTGGTGGGGCAGACACAGCTTAGGCCAAGAACGAGTGACAGGAGCTGGTCAGTCCTCTTAGCCCAGATCTTAGAGCGGGGCAGGAATCCTGCCAGACTTTCAGTTTAGGACTAGAATACCAGAAGCAAGTCCAGGCCGTCAGGGACCATGAAAGCAGAGGCGTGATTCTGAAGCCAAAGTTAGCTGGTGCCAGCTCCTTAGAGTGCAAGTTACTCTCCTGGCCTTCACTTTTCTCTTTCATACAACAAGTACAGTCTCACTTGGGACAAGTAGGGGAGATCACGGTCTTTCACTTGGCACATAGTAGCAGCTCATGAAGCCCAGAGGCATGCAGCAGAAAACTAAACCCATCTCACCCTCAGTGGCCAATGAGGGGCAGTGCCTGACATGGATCCAGTGCCCAGTGAGTGGCTGTGAGGATGGCTGCTAAGAAATGAGCAGTGCACAAGTCTACAGGAGCAGGGTGTGGGTTTGGGAACCAAAGGACTGGAGCAGCACAAAAGTCCAGGACCCAAGGGTTGGAAATTTAGCCCAGCAGCATAAGTACCTCCCTTGCAAGCATGCAGTTGTGAATTTGATCCCCGGTGCCAAAAAAAAAAAAAAAAAAAAAAAAAGTCCAGGACCCAGCAACTTTCACACAGGAGCTGCCTCTCAGAGACTCTTGAAGAGGTGGGTATGTTCCATGCAGGAGGGGAGGCAGGCAAGTAGGACTCGGGACATAGAGAGCATGTTTCCAAAGACACCAGGACCAACTATTGCTGCTACTCCTAGTAAAGCCTGGGGCAGGTTACCATCCACTGGAAGTTGCTCTAAATGCCTTATGTGAAGTCACTTATTTCAAGTCACATGAAAGTGTTCAAATATACTCTCATGTGAACCATTTTACAAATGTGAAAACTATGACATAGGAATACAAGTCACTGGGCCACCAACACATGGGACTAAAAGGTCCCGGCCCAACAGCCCTTCTCCATCAGTCTAGAAATAATTCCTGTTGCATGGAGACAGGGAATGTGAATGCATGAGAGGTGGAGGCAGTGCAGAAGGCCCCAAGGGTCTTTGGAAGGGGTTTAAACAGGACAGACACTGCTGCTAGTGGAGAATGCATGGAACACTTGGCTCCTATGGTGCACACAAGTGTGGACTGGAGGAGTAGGGACTGGCAGCATTGGTCATGAGAGGCACAAGAGTCACAAGGAGGGGGATCATAAAGAAGGAAGCTTCCACAGGCACCTCTTTTCTCTGCAGGATCCTCCAGCTCTGAATGTGTGCATTTGGAACAATCCATTCTGCACGATGCTGCTGCATCTCAGATTCCTCATAGCCATCAGAAAGTGAACCTACTTCAGAAAACGGAAGTTCTAGCACCCACTGTGCAGGTGAGCTCACTGAGCTCTTATGTGTGCTAAAAGACTGGCATCTGGCAGACACTGGACTTAGTCCCAGACCCTGTAACTCAAAATGCTCTGATCTACACACTGCCCCCCTCCCTCAGTTGCACCTGCTTGGCATGTCGCATCTGTCTGATCCACCCAGTAGATGAGAAGCCTGTAATAAAGCCTACAGAATGAATAAGGGAGGCCAACAACCAGAGGTGCTTGGATTGTACCACAAGGAGGAAAGCTAAAAGGAGGGTTAGCCCTTTCCCTTCTCCTCCATCAGTCTGGGAGGATTCCTGGTACACGGAGACAGGGCCGGTGAGTTCACTAAGGGTGGGGGCAGTGCAGGTGCCAGTGGTCCCTATTCCAGTGGCTGGAGGCAGGGTCCTGATCTGGGACAGGTGGTCCAGCTCTTTGCTACCTCTAACTCCAAGACAGGTGAAGATTGCCAGCCCAGGTGATGGGAGGACAAGGAGCTACTCTGAGAAAGTGTTCCGTGACTCGGAAGATGGGTCCTTTCATGAAGACAAACCTATTAGGCAACAAAGACACAAAACAGCCTGCATTCCTCAAGTTTGGGGAACCTCACTCCCCCAGGACTGCTGTTCTGGAGGAAGCGGAGCTGACTCGGAAACCCATCTCTGGTAGAATACGAATGATGGAAGTGCTCTTTCCAAAGCATTTTAAAAATAAGAATATATATATATATATATATATATATATATATATATATGGAGAATATGACAGATGGAGGGGGTATTCAGCAGAGTATTTTTAATCCTGGAGTCAGGATTATGTAAGGATGGGAAGAGAAATGAGAAGGCAGGTGGTGAGTCATCTGGAGCAGGCAGGGAAGCAAGTCAGACCCGTACCTCCTTTTGCACTCTGCCAGCATTTGCAGGTGCCAAGACCCACAGGGCCACAGCAAGGAGGCAAGAAAGGTGGGCCCAGGGGTGGAGGAGCCACAGTGTGGGTGGCTCAAGGGGCAGCTGTGGGGAGGTGGTAGGATTGGCAGGAAGAGGAGAGATGGGTAGGACCCAGCTTGGCCCAACTACCAAAGCTGCATCTTGGAAACACTTGTAGATTTCCAGGAAATTGGAAAAGGCCTTGGAGATATTTTCAAGTGAGTACTTGGCTCTGCACTGCAGATTCCTTGTCATCTTTGCCTTCCTGTAATTTGCTGAAATGGGGGATTGCAAGGCACAGCCTGGAGCACACGCCGAGACCACCTCAGGGCTGACAGCCCAAGGGCTCTCCTCGGGTTCTGCAGAGCCCCAGCCAGAGCCAGCAGGCCTGTGTGAAGGAAAAAAACTTCGTGATGGGGCTGCAGGAAGTGCGTCTTGGCTGTGCAGGAAGGAGCTAGAAGGGGGTAAAGAGCAAGGCTAGGGCTGTCTGCTCCCAGGAGCTTTGGGAAGAGCACTATGCGGTTGGGGGTGAGGCAGGACACATCGCACAGTCATCTTCCTGAGACAGGGGATAGGATGGGCTGGCTGATTAAAGCTCCTGCCCCCCCTGGAATTCTTTTACAATGGGTACTTTACTGCTTACTCACCGCTGCCACTGAACCAGCCTGCTTTCAGGAAAAGAGTGCCAGTGGATGCCCTTTGCCTTCACTGTCCACAGCTGCTCTCTACTAAGGGTTCATGATGGTCCAGGCAAAGTTCTTTGTTTAGCTTAGCACATTTAACCATTAGCCACACTGCAGAACAAAGTGTATTGCTCCCATTTTATAGACGTGAAAGTAGAGCTGTAAGGTCAGTTGGAAACTGGGATATTAACACAGTCTGCGTGACTTCAAAACTCACAGCCTTAGCCTTGACAGCACAGAACCTCAAATTCCATAGGCTTTACTTCTCCAGAGGTGACCCCTCTCCAGAACATGAACCCTTATCATCTTTTTGATGGATGCCAAGTTAGACAGATGTCATCCCCAGAAGGATAGCTACCAGTTCCAAAAACAGCTTTGTTCATCTCTGAGCTATGCCACAAGCAGGGCAAGAATGCAGACCTCACCCCTCAAGACAATCAGGACTGAGCCAGCTGCTGGCACCATCCAGGGCTTCTCTCTGAGGCTCCTGATTGGCCCAGAGGGACAAGACCTGTGCACTTCAGAGATGGCCTTTGTTGTCCAAGAGCTGATGCTGTTTGCTTCTAAGCAAGTGAAACTTTCTTTTCTGTGACTCTAGGTGATCCTGGAGAGAAGCCTAACAGGAAGCTGTGTGTGAGGTGAGGTCTAGGGGTATCCTGGCTCCTGCCCAGGCCAAGGCTGCCCTCCAGCTCTATCTCATACTGCTGAGAGAGAAGAGAGATTCAGGTGGTAAAGGAGAGGCCAGGTTGCCATCAGATAGGTCCAGGAAGGGTCCATAAAGAGGAGATGGAGATCTCAGGTCACCCTGGAAAGTACTTGAACTGTCATCACAGAAAAGCATTTCTGGAAGCTCAGGTGATTAGGCAGCAGATTCATTAGGCATAATCGAAGATTACACACCCAAAGAGAAAGAGTGTGGATGTTTGAAAGGTGAGATACATTGTAGAATGAGTTGTGGGTATTTATGTGGTCTTGGGGTGTCCTCAGGACAGATGATCTAGGAGATACAGTTTTTAGTTGTCTTTGTTTGCCTAGTATGCCTGTCAGGTTACTCATTAGTGGGTTAAAGCAAAAACTGACTTTATCAAGTAGGTTAAAATGCAAACTATTTGCTTGCATTTGAAGTTTGGAGATATGGTACCCAGGTAACGGTGCTATTCGTTCAGGGGTAGAAATCTGAAGTTTGTGGATTTATAGTACTGGAGGAAAAACATGAGGCAAACATATGAACTTGCTATATCTTTAAAACTCTTGGGAAATTAGAGGTGAGGAGCTGAGAAAATAAAACAAGCCTAGGGGTAAAAAAGGCATTGTAACCTTAGTTGAGTTTTCAAGCTGCAGTTTCCTCAAAATTATAATTTTAAAATTACAACTTCCTTATCTTCTTTCTACCTGACTTTATTTCTTCTATCCTACCTCAGAGCCAGACTGACACAGAGCCCAGAAGAAAATGTGACAAGCGAGGGAGAAAGATCATGGCAGAGAATCGGTCCAGCATGGACAAAGAGAGGCCGAGGCCATAGAGACTGGAGAGTCGTGGACAGAGACAGGCAAATAAACCCAGACAGACAGAGTCCAGACTGCTGAAAAGCCCCCAGGCAGTGTTCTAGGTGCTGAGGACCCAGGCATGAGACAGAGACCCTCCTTCCCACAGCTTCCTGCGTAGTGAAGGAAGGGACAGCAGAGACGCAAAGTCACAAGGAAACTCCCCAGACATGACAACCCAGGGAGAAATGAGGCAGAAAGTGGGGTGAGATGATAACAAAACTGAGCACCCAGGGCACTTGGACAGCAGGGAAGTGGTGAAAAAGATCCTAGGACCATTGGTAGACCAAGGAGGGAGAACCTGAATGAGGAGAGGATAAATGATGCCTGAGACACCAGGAGATGCAGAGGACACCAGAGAGATGCTGTTGGAATCCTGAGAAACCTAGAGATAGGGAAAGAGGAACTGAGATCAAAGAAAGAGACATGCCTACAATCAGGGAGGCACAAAGTAGAGGTGGGATGGAGAAGGTTTGCCTGATCAGAAAGTCAGAAACGTGGTCAGGAAGGCAGAAAGGTGAGAGACAGACAGACAGAAAGTGAGTCAAACAAACAGAGGCACCAAGACAGACACATAAAGAGACTATTGCCATCACTTAGTATGGGGTTGGATTTTTGAGACCTCCCCTTTCTCCATAACCTTCAACCTTCTCCATCGCCAAGGGTTACTTTTATTATCTTCCCTGATGGGCCCTAAGGTCTGAAAGATATTTGTCTACCAAACAATCTGCATTTCATAAGTAATAATTAATTCGCCTCCCCATTTTTTATTCATCAAAGACATCAATGGCTGGCAATCAGCGCTTCAGATCAGCGGGAGAGATCTCGAGTTGTCACACTGAGATGCTGTGCTTCCAGCCCACAGCAAAGCCGTCTGCCATTGGAGTCATCAGCCGCTAAACCTGATCACAGGTAAATGCATCGCCTGGGTTAAGTTTGGGGAGGTGTTGACAACAGTTCAAAGGACACAAAGAGAGGTCCTGCTGCCTTTGCAGACCCCTGGATCCGGGGACTCTGTTTTCAGATGACAGTCCTAGGAAGTCTCTGTAGCTTGCTGAGTGCTGGCCTGCTTGATCAGAGTACAGGTCCTGGTTAGGGGAGGCTCCCTCCTTGGGATTGTGTGGCCAGATATGAACACACACCATTAATCCAAGTAGTCAATTTTCAAACAAACCGTAATGATGAAAAGGATAATATGTCTGGCTGAGCTTCTGGCCATGGGCTGGTTCTGTCGCTCTCCACCACCACACAGCCACGCTTACCCAGGGCATGTGGTTTTTTGCTTCTGACCTCCTACAACTTGGCTAGCTACTCTTTCATTATTAAACAATTCTCAAAAGACGCCCGTTGTCTTCCAAACCACCTAAGCCAATGGTTTCTACAAGTTCAAGGCTCTTTAGCATTTAGCATTGTGTCACCTCCTCCTGCCAGGAGTGTTCCAATGTTGTACTCAGGTCCAGGAGCCTTTGTGTAAAGGTTGGTTTTTCTGTACCTCTAGGGGCGGCCTTATGGCTCTGAGAGTAACGCCCAGCCTGTGGCCAACTCCTCATCCCCTGGCCTTTGGCTCTTGATTGCATCCATCAAATCTGAACCCTAGAGTAATGTTTGGGGAATGGCATCTCCTACTGCATCCCCCTGGCCTGTGACTTTGCCATCTATCTAGTTGCATTCCTGTAGGAAGCAGTTGCTTTGAAGTTTGCAGTACCACTTCCTGCACAGTGGAGATTGGTCTGGGTTTGGCTCCTTGCTGGACTCCCTGGCAATGTTCTTTTGGGTTCTCCCCAGTGTCTTCCTGGGTGGCATCATTCACCATCCTCCACGTGAGGCTCTCACTACCCACTAGCTGCAGCTGGGATGGACACACTGCTGAGATCTGCACTCTGTGGCTACTTCTCACCTACCCTATCCCTCTGTAAGAAGTGTACCTCCCACCCCACCCTCTGTTCCTGGCCATGAGCCCCCAATAACCCTCAAGATTCACTTTGCTTCTCATACCTGTAGCCAAATGGATAACACATGTAGAATCTCAAAGGCCCCCTCCCAAACATCCAGGAATGGGAAACTTTGTAAATCTAAATCCTATGAGATTCCACGAAAATAGTCACAAAGAACATGTCTTCAAGGAAATGTAGAATCGGGAAGAAGAGTCCAAACCAGAAGAATGAGACACACCAGACTAGTGATGAGAAGAGTGTGGGACAAAGTAGTAAACTTTTCCACTTCCCTAGTCAGGGCTAGGGCCCCAAAACACAGAGTTTTACCCACAGTAATGGCACATGAGTGGTCATCAAAGGAGTTGAAGACGCAGGGCCAGACTGCAACTCAGGCTATGCAACGCCCCCACCTCCCTTATCAACTCAGTAACTGACTGACAGCTCCTTGCTCTCTCCATCTGTCTCCACATATCTCTGTCTCTCCTCTGCCTCTCCCTCTCTCTCCCTTCCCATTCTCCCAGAACACTTCACCTGATCACCATCTATATTTCACTTACAATTGCTTCCTTCTGTTGTGGCTATTTTTTTCCTTTGAAAGCCTCAAATTTCACAAATATTGGTGACATTAACTCCTCAATCGTATATTAAAGTTAGAAGAAAATTCTATTTGAGGAAAGACTTAAATAAATGTGGTATCTAGGGATAGATTATATTCCCGACTCCCTTTCAGCTTTGTCCATAATTAATTTTTACTTGAAAATCTTGTTCATTTATTTATTCAACAAACATTTGCTGAGCACCTCTCATACGCCAGGCCCTGTGCTAAGAGTGTCTTGCTAAGAGCCAAGACACAGTCCTTGCCTTCTAGGAGCTGGGGGCAAAGGAGTGGAGGTTGGGAGATAAATTATGGTAAGGCAAGGTGATAGGTACTAACACAGTGACGTGGGCTGAGTGCCTGTGGACTGCAGAGTGAAGGCAACTGGCTAAGAGTTAAAGAGCCAATGGCCAGGGAAAGGGATGTCTTGCCTGACTCCCAAAAGATTTGTGGAGGTTGGCGAAGGACAGGAAAGGGCCAGGAAATTTCCAGTTAGAACGATTAACCTGGAGAAAACAGAGCATGAGACCAACACCAGTAGAAAAGCAGGTTGTTGAGAATGTAGAACAATGGGGAGCAATCTGAGGGGGGGCGGAAATAGCGGGGCTGACTTTATTCAAGGCTGGAGATTGGAGAAGTTTGGAGGCTTGTATGCTTTTTGATTGTTTGCTTGTTTGAGATTGAACCAGGAGCTTTCACACTGAGAAATATCCCTGGTTTGTTTTCTTTTTTATTTTGAGACAGGGTCTCAGTAAGTCACTAAATTGCCCAGGCTGGACTTGAACTTCTAATCCTCCTGTCTGAGCTTCCCAGAATGCTGAGATTATAAGCATGCACCACCATGCCCGGCTACATGGCAGAGTTTATATTACATGCCCCTGTGAAGTCCCTATCTTTACCTAGACTAGTCCCTAGTCTAGATGAAGTCCCTATCCCTTTGAGGAGATTTGAGCAGACAATGGTATGACTGCATTTGGGTGACAGGTAGATCTCTTCTGGCCTACGTAGAAATAAGAGAAGACACTGCACTCATTCAGAAGGGACCTGATAAGGTCTGAGGAGGTACAGGAGGATGGAGAAGATAGTAAATGTAAGTGATATGTAGTAGAAAGTGTCTACAGTCTTCCAAAACTGACTGGATTGCAGATTTTCTTATGCTCTTCCGAATGTCAGCAGCTTTCAGGACAAACGAGCAGTTATCAGGACAGATAATTCGCCTCTGAATTCCCATATGCTATTTGCTTATTCTTGGCTTCACTAGAATTGGGAGTCCTCCTGCATTCTAGTTTTCTCAGATAGGTTTGTCCCAGATTCATAGCCCCTGAAGAAAATATCAGCAACTAAATCCAGGTTCAAAATCCTTCCCTACCTTCTCTCTTCCTCCAGCACTGTCTTTCTTCTCACCACTCCAAAAGGCACCAGTGACAAATACGGCTGTTTGTAATTAATTCTACCCTTTCCTTCACTAATTTTGCCCAATCGAGATCAAGGTTTACATTGTTGCCAAGGGGAACCACGCTATTAGATATCTATTCACCCATGTTTGAAGATCACCAAAACCGTGCAAGTTACCTTGCATTAGATTCTAAGGGGTGCTCATTAACTCAATTATGCGGGAAGAAACAGTTCAAATCAAGCTACACTTAAGAGAAACTTTTTTCCCTTTTGAATATTTTAGATATATTTTGTAAGTAGAATTAATTTTTAAAGAAAATTACATAGCATTTTTTTCACAAGCAAAAGTAGATTGAGGGGAATGGAGAGATTGAGGAAGAGAGAAAAGGGAGATGAAGGGATGGAGATGGAAATAGAGAGAGAACTTGGGCATAGAAAATGAAAGGCAAAGCCGAATAGGAGGGACAGAGTGGCCACAGATTGCTTCCTATTGGAGTAGTTTATTGCTGGTCGCTATCATTCTGAAGACAGTCTAATGAAACTATAAAAGCCAAGTTTTTACACTTTATAAAATACACCAGGATTGTGACAACTGCAGGTTAAAAGGTGACACCATCACTAACTGTTGGTCCTGTCATTCCTCACCCCTGTAACCACATGGGGTTCAGTGCTCATGGGAGTCACCATCACTTAAGATGTTCACTTTCTGCCTAATATATGATATGTCTCACTGCTGTTAATCAGGATCATAATGCAATCACAGTTGACATGTCTGCCTTCTTTGGCCTGACTTGTAATTTTGTTCTAATATTCTTTCTTACCAAGATCCAGAAATCCTAAAAAAAAAAAAATGAAAACAAAAAACTCCCATGGATGAAGATCACGTTGAACTTGGAAGTGTAAATGTAGTTCCATAGAGAAACGGGACAGAAGGGCTGGGGATTTAGCTCAGAGGCATAAGCACCTGCCTTGCAAGCGCGTGGTCATGAGTTCAATCCCCAGTACTGATTAAAAAAAAAAAAGTAAAAAGAGAAACGGGACAGGGCAGAAGGAACACCAACCCAACAACTTCCCAGAGGAATAACCTTGTACTTGTGGGCAGCAATATTTCAGAACGGTGGACAGCGACTGTTGGGGCCACCTGGCCCTCGTAATAAAAGTGGAGGTCTTGCAGTAGGGGGATTAAACGCTGAGTACCCAGGATATTGTGGAGGAGGGATTGCTAGGAAAACTGAGAGTTTATATCTTATGTCTGCTTGCATCGACTCAGCATTTTCACAAAACTAGGGCAGAGTGTTCATTCAGGTAGTAGTAGCTCTGGAATTCTGATCCATGTCCGTCTGACTCCAGCGCTGCCTGCTCTTAACTGCAGTTTAGAGACTGCATCTGGAGCCCTTCCACAGGAAGGAGTGAGCATCACCAGTCTAGGGTTTTCCCCTTTGGGGAATCTCTGACTCTAAGCTTGTCTGATCATACATTCAGTATACTCTATGCCAAGCCTAAAAGATAACCTCAGAGTAAAAAATAAAGTCTGAGCAAAAAAGAGTAAAGAAAAAGCAAATCATTTGAAAAGAAAAGAACTACCTTAGTACTTCCACCCAAACAGCCATTTTTCACCCCTGCGTGTTATCTTCCGCTCCTGTTGACACACTGACATATTTTTCTGTCATTGCAATCAAAGCAATTGTAGTATTTGCATTGTCGTTTCACTTAGTGTCACATCATAAACCTTTCCCAAGTTGCTATACAGTCTCCATAATGATCATTTTTAATGTCTGTATAATGTTCTAACAAATGGATACACCATAATTTACTAAACAACTCCCTAACTGTTGAGCATTTAGGCTATTTCCCTCCTTTTTTTTATTTCATAGGTTGAGCTATGATGAGTGTTTTTAATGTGTAACCACATGGGGTGATGAAAAGAGAAAAGAGAGTTAAAATTCACCCTGCAACTTACCTTGAGTAAGGAATGAAGCCTTTAAAGACTTTGTTTGGAAAGAGGAGCAGGAGAAATAGCCAGGCCAGAGGAGCAGGGGCTATAAAGCCGAAGCAGGCAGCACACAAAAGGTAGGTGGTAGCCACTGTATTTGAACTGCTATGACTTTACAACTTTGCTTCCTCAAACCCAGTGTTGAACAAAAGCAGTTTAGCCTGAGAAAGGCACATGAGAGACTGCTTCTCCTTTGGTCATATGTTTTGGACCTCAAGCCTGATCCATATGCATGGGAATAACCTCCTTCTAGGAGCTGTGATGAGAAAAGGAGGCAGAGAAATACCACTCTGGGCTTTTTCTGGGCTCAACACTTTGAGGTTAAAACCTTAGAGTCACTTCTCTGGCCAAACAACCCTCTCGGAGTTTTTCCTACCTACTTGCAAATCTGAAGACACATTCCACTTCCTCTGCCTTCCTGAGCTTCCAAAGTACCTGTGAGCCCTGAGCACAGCTACAGGTGAGGACTTAGTCTCCCCAGCTCCTTCTGCTTCCTTCTCCCCAAGGACAAGCTCATAGGTCTCTTTAATCTTTATTTCTACTCCATGAAGCTAGGTAAGTCTAAAAGGTATCACAGTTCTAGAGTCTTCCATGGTTTCAGTCATTGTCCTTGCTTTAGAAAACCTGCATCCTAATGGGATGCTACTCAGGATCTGAAATAATTTCTTGGCATTTCCTTCAACCCTCAGAGGTGAACATACCTGTGCAATCTAGAGATGCAGCTTCCATAAGTAGATCCCAACAGTTGGCCACGCAAGTGTGCCAAACTCCAGTGGGTTCTTCTAGGGGCCTCTAGCCTGAGCCACCCATTCATGAGTATGGTCCCTTTTTCACACTTGTATGGTAAGAGGAAGTCGTCCTCTTATGCCTCCCTGAAAATCTCCACGGTGCAGGAGGTAGGGCACAGGATAGGAGAATAAGAGGGGCTGGTGGGGCTGGTGATGGTCTGACTCACTGGAACCCTTCTCAGAGCAGATCCTGTCCAACACAAGTCTCACCTTACTGTCGCTCCTAAGTGTAGTTCCCAGTGCTTGGCTGGATCAGCAGGCGGAGCTCACGGCCTAGGGAACAGGGAGGCCTTGTCAGGGAAAAGTTGCTGACCAGCCCCTTCTTGTGGGCTGTCAGGTCTAATCAACATCAGCACAGTTAATGGGGAACACAAAACCTATTTAAAAGCTGCATTTACCACTTGGCTGGTTCCATTACACTGTGCAATATCCAGGTGCCACACTTCCTCTCAAAGTGTCTATCTCAATGCTTTTGTGAACTGCCAGGGTTAGGAAGTCACCACCCAGAGCCACCTGAGGAGGACTTCTCTACCCTACTTACCTCCACAGGCTCAGCTACAAAGGATTCTCCATCCCTTGGACCCACGAAGAGGAAGGGTCTGAAGCAGGGCATAATAGAAGATGCAGCTGGCACCTGGTCTCTTTCCTCTCCAAGCCTGTTGGGACATCTCACTCTCTGCTGGGGTGACTCTATTCTCCATCCACATCTGAGCATCTGAATGCTGGTAGACATGACCTACTGGGTAGAGGACTACTAGGCAGAGGCCTAACCCTAATCTTAACTCACTCCCTCTTAGAGAACCTCATGGACAAGATGACTCTCACACCCAATTCCCACCCCTGCACCTCTCTCACTGAAGCTCCAATTGGGTGCAGAAAAAAAAAAAATACTTCAGATTCCATTTGAGTAAGACCTGATGCCTCTCCTCCTGAGCTGTCCTGCTACTCCTCAGCTCTGCTCTTGATGCCACCCTACCTTACCCCCCCCCCAGTCAAGCGTTTCCTAGTCTTTAAGCAGAAACTCATCATCCACTTGATTCTGAGCAGCTATGGTGCTGAATGTGGAAGCACAGACTTTTACACTAAAGCTTGGAGGGAGTTCATACAAAGATCACTAACAGTGGCTGTTTTTATTCTGTCTATAAATCAGATACGAGTGCCTAAGGACAGACACTGGCCTGGGATAGAGTGAGAAAAGTGTGTAGTTTAGAGGTAGACACATGCAGATGTTAAATAATCATAAAGAGGCCTGTGGATACACATGCTATGAAAGAAGAGTGGAGAGAGACCACAAGCAAATAACAGAACTCTTGAACTGGACCAGGGTCAAGAAATCTTCAAAGACACCATGAAGGAATAGACCTGCATGTTCCTTTCTCTTAATACCACTGCGTGCAGTGTCTGCCACCATCATGTCTGTGTTTAAGGAGTGCTTCCTGTCACATCTCCATGACCAGCCATCCTTCCGGCCACAGCCACCCCGTCACCATAGCCAGCCTCAAGCCTTCTCTTACCCAAACAGGGGTCATGCCCCTAAGTGGCTTGGGCATTCTTCTTCCCAAGAGCCAACAGGAAAACTGTCACCTTGAGACAAGCAAAGAGTTCCCCTGCCTCCTATTCCAAGGCTTCCAGGCCTCTCCCTCTCAATGCTCACAACCAGCTAACACTTCTCTGGAGGAAGCCAGGTGATATGTCAGTTCTTCAGACCTCCCTACACTGGCTGCTGGTGACTTACCCATGGCCATTCCAGGATTACCTTGTTCCAGAGAATACAGTAGCTACTGTTCCTATTTGCAAAAGCAAGCTTGTTTATGCTAGCGAAGTGAAGTGCTTGAAATGTTCACATTTACTATAGCCTTGGATCAGGTGGATCTTGATGGCAAGAGGTCATGTCCTATGAAGGCATCCGTTTCCCACACACCCAGTGTCTTGGTTACTTTTCTGTTGTTGCTGGGACAAAATACCCACCACCCAAAAGGAAGGAAGGAAAGGTTTATTTAGCTCACTGTTTGTGGAAGTGTCAGTTCATAATTAGCTGGCTCCAAGGCAGTGTGGCGTGGCACTGGAGCAACACTTCAAGGTAGCAGCCAGAAAAATCAGCCAGAGCAAAAGGGGGAGCAAACAAACCTCTACTCCTTCCTTATATTGTACACAGGCCACCCCTCTCCAGGATTGGTGTAGCACTCACCAAATCTCTGTGCCCTCCTTTTGCACTGGATGAGGATATTTGCAAAGTAAGAACCCTAAACTTCTAAAGTTGACACAATATGTTAACGATAACACCCAGTCACACCTGGTGGCATCTGCAGTATCTTTCCCCATCAACTGCTGAATGCACATCTCCCCATCTGGTGCACCATGGGGTCACAGGATAAACAGAAGGCCTGGCTTCTTTCTCTGCAGCCAGATAGAGGCTGCCAGAGCTCCACCCATATAATCATACATCCCCAGGCAGCTTGGAGCACTAGACACATAGTATTATGGGTCAGGAGCTGAAGGGCCACATCCAGGCAGCTTTAATTCACTGTGTGATCTTAAAAGTAACCTTTAAATTCTCTCCAAGTTTCAGTTCTCTGTATAAAAGGTGCTGGGACTGAGTGAATGGCCTTTTCCATAGGCTCAAATGTGCCCTGGAGATAGAGGGAAAGCCAAGGTACAGGGATTTCAGCCAAGGTAGCATCAGTTGTATCTGCTTTGTATACAGAGCTTCTGCAGAAAGTTTTCACTCAGAAAAAGAAGCTCATCACTGAAAGCAAGCTGGGAAGTGACTATAGTGATGGTCCTAAGGCCCCCTCCAGACCTAACATTTCATGATTTACTGGTAAATACAATAATGTGGTTGAAAGAGGCTTGGAACGTGGAGACCACAGCAGGACATGACAAGTAGACTGTTTCATCTGCTCTGCACTTTCCACACCATGAGAGCCCGAGGCAGGTGCTCGACTGAAATCTGCACCATCTTCTAACCTTTGAGCTAAGGAACCACTTGAGAGGCCTCTGTGGGAAGTAAGTGGAAGGAGGCAGAAGAAAGGAGAGAGAGAGAGAGAGAGAGAGAGAGAGAGAGAGAGAGAGAGAGAGAGAGAGAGAGAACACAGGGAGGGAGGCAGACAAACCAGAGTTGGGCCTGGGACCCTCCTGCACCCCACTGCAGGCAGAGGGTTATGGCCGCCACCTCTAGCTTCCAACTGCATTATTTAGGCCTCATGCTCTGGTTGCCATGGAGATGGGAAAGCGTGGGCCCAGGGCCCTGGTCTCTCCACCAGAGGCAGCAGCATGTGCTCCTGTTGATCTCAGTCCTTGGAGGCGGCCATGGAGATGGGAGCCTATGAACTCATCTTGCTCTGTGTCCCCTGCCTCATCGTCCTCTGCTCACCTCCAGACTTATCTTGGAAGCCAAAGGCCAGTCCCTTCTGCTCAGAGGGTGGGCTCTGGGCACAGGCTCACGTGCGGATGGAGCGTTCAAGGGGAAATCAGGCTCCTGCAGAATAGACAGCTTGTGGAGGGCTGTGTGCGGAGGTGGGTGCCACCCTGTGAGCAGCAGATGACAGGGGCAGAGTGAAGAGGTGGGTCTGACGGGCCCTGCAGACATGGATCACAGAGTAGGGACGGTGAGCGGGTGCACATCCAGGCAGGAGGCTGCTGGGGCCATCTGAGTGAGAGATGAGGGCTCGGTGAACAACAAGGAAATGCTGGGGGCAGTGAGCCAAAAGGAAAAACCTGGAGCTCCAGGGACGCAGAATACGCATTCACTCCTTGTATCTACAGCCTCAAAGCCTCAGAAGGTTTGGGACCACAACATAAATTCTATGCATGAAGCCCTCCTAGAGATCCCGAGGAATATAGCAAAGTCAGGCCCCTGGAGGTCCCACCGAGCTTCATGTGTTCACATAGGTCTGGCTGTGATGGACTTATTTTAACTCGGCTTCACCACACTTTATATTTTGACCATGGAACCCCCTTCTACCACCCGCTCACCCCTCCAGAACACTGGGATTTGCCAAGTCCATCTCTCACAGAAGGCAAGGCAGGAGGGGACAGAAGAGGCCGAGCTGTGCCTCAAATAATCATATCTGACTCAGGAGTCCCAACCCTGGGGAGCAGCTATGTGCTTGAAGGAGTCACTTGATTTAAAATACCTGAAGTGGGCCTGGGATTTAGCTCAGTGGGGTAAGCGCCTGCCTGGCAAGTGCAAGGTTGTGAGTTCGATCCCTGGTGGTACCAAATAAAAGAAAGAAAGAAAGAAAGAAAGAGAACCTGAAATGTCAATGACAGGGATTGGCTTAGTAAACTGTGGTCAGATTCTTTGACCTTTCTGTGAGATGATTACAAATATTACATTGGAAGTCATTTCATATGAAATACATCCTAAGAACTATTTTGAAAAATATATAGACGGAAATAATGAAACAGGAAACACAGAATGATTTGCTCTTGTGTTTTGCAAGAGAGAAGTTCCTCTGAATGATGAATATAAGTCCTGGTCAGCGAAATAAAGAGTTTCTCCTGAAATACTGATGGGCATGTACCTCAGGCCCTTAAGTCTGATTCAGAGTGAGTCAGTTCTTGCATCTCAGTCGCTGAAGGCATCGCAAGTATGTGCACCCAGAGGGCTGAAGCCTGGTGGCCTTGTGGAAGTTTGACCCCTAATCAGACCTGGTCACAGAAGCCACATTCTCATCTCACACTCCCAACTTTGGCAGGGCTACCAAGGCTCAGAAGAAATAATGGAGTGGGAAAAAGGTAGGACTTGATTCAAATAGCTGGGCTGACGTTAATACCACCAGGGTGCTTTGTCACTTCCTGTGAGCTCTGCTTGAAGCCAGCAATAAGCACAGGAGGGAGCCTGGGAGGTCTGATAGCCTGTGCAGCCTCCCTGGAGAGCACATCGGCCAGGCCTTGGGGGTAGCTCTGCAGTCACTGATCTAGCAGTGGGTCCCCACGGGTCAGGGACCTGAGCTCCTAGCTGTCCGGTTTGGGAGAAGGCTGGCTGTCCCTGCCAGCCCCCATGCCCATATTTTGCAAATGAAGACATTCCACTGGCCAAGCGGATGGTTTGTAGGGCTAAATGACTTTGTATTTCTGGAGTGGAAGGAACAGAACCGCCTCGAGACACTGCTGTTTCCCTGCTGTAATTGATGGCACTCACTCTTTTCTGCCATTAACGCACAAGCTGCAGTTATTTTTCTTTTTTTAACCAAACACTGCTGAATGGGAAACATTGATTTTTTTTTTTAAAACTGGGTTTCAAACTGAGAAATGTCTTGATCCCACAAGTCAATCATCTCCAGTGTCATAGTAACCCCTTTGGTGCTGGCATATGGCTGGCAAGAAGCCAAATGCCCAGCTGAGCAGCCCCTCCTTCTCCTCCCACAGCCACCTCATAGCAGACACAGGACCTGGCACCCTGTCCAAGCTGCCACCCCATTCCCTGTCAGGCAAAAGGACTTTCAAGAGTCCTCCATTGGATCAATTGGGACCACTGTGTACAGTTATGCAGGGTGTTCACTGAGCAATTCTAGCAAATATGTTCCCATCAGTGAGGTTTGCCTATGCATGAAATCAGCTCTTAACAGCTCCCTGTTGCCTGCAGGTAGAATCCAGCTCCTGGCTGCAGCCTCCAGGGCCTGCCTGGCCTTCTCTCCACCCACTTCAGGATTTGTTGCTCATCTCTAGCTCAGACCTGACCGGATTCCTTCCTCAGAGGAAGTGTGTTCTCTCTGGCTGTGTTTTCCACATGTTCAACTCTGCTGGATTGCTGTCTTCCACCTTGTGTGTTTCTACTCAGCTTTCAGCCAAAACCTCACTTCCTCCAGGAAGTCCTCTAGACTGCCCACACTTCTGTCTACATACCTGTCACCTCTCATATGTCTGATTTCCAGACCCCTTAAGCCTGTATTCTCCACTGAACTAGTATCTTCTGGAGGGCAGGAGCTGAGTCTCTCCTACTACCATCTCTCTATGCCCGCACAGACATTAGTACATTGCTAGGGGTCCATAGAGTTGTCCTGGAAGGGTCAGGGAGTGACTGGCCGAAGTTAGACAGCTCAGGCGTGGTGTGTGGTGTGACCTTTCTTACCTCCCACCAGGCTGGCTCAATCTGTGATTCAGTTTCTTCAATTCAACCTGAAGCTTTACCTGTGCCCAACTTTACCCTGCTTGAATGAGGCTCTGGAAGCCACCAAACCTTTTCCTGTCCTCATCCAAGGGCAGAGGAGACAATTGAATCCTGGGCCCTGCTAGCTGCAGATGGGCCAGTCTGGCCAGAGCTAATGCTGACGCCCCTGGCAAGGCTCCTGGGACATCCTGATGCCCCTCAGGTCACACTCACCTAAAATCAGTTCCTAGAGACATCACAGGGGAGCCATGCAGCGCCCTTGGAGGAGTGGGCTTAAGGATGCAGTCCTGGAGGGACAGTTCCACCATCTCAGGCCCTGACCGCCAAGGCCACGGGACAACTAGGAGCTTAGTTTAGGGAATATCAATGTAAAGTGGAGGCCAGGACCTCCTGTGTGATTCTGAGCAAGACACTGAAGCTCTCTGCTCCTCATTTTCTTCATTGCATGTACAATAACAGTGACACCTACTTCAGAGGATGTTGGGTGGCTCCAATGCCACTTCACTGGGAGTGAGATCCAAGGACCCTGGAAAGGAGCACTGGGAAGTCTGCGGCCCACGGCTGCACCAACTCATCTGTACGTTGATGAGCAGGGAGTACCTGGATGACTTCCAGGGACCCCAGAATGTCAGGGCCCCTCTACCTGAGCTGAGCCCCTCAGCCTGGAGATGTCCCCACATTTTCAGCACAAATTCCATCCCCTTGGACTCTGGGGACATGAACAATCTTCCAGTCACAGGGAAAAACAGGAAGAGAAGTGGCCTTTCCCCACTGAGACCCTGTGAAGAAAGGATGTGACTTGCTACTGGACATTGAGCTACAGGACCCAGATTCTCTCTTCTGAAAGGCAGAGCACAGACCCTGGGTCCCTGTCTGGCCTCAGGACTGGCATATTTGAAGGACTTTAGTGACTCCATTTGCCCTTCCTCCTTATGTCTGATTTCCAGGCTGTCTCCCTGGAGGCAAGGTCCTGTGTCTCTGGGCCCTGACAGTCTTCCCCTGGTTCCTGAGAATTACTCTTTCCCAGATGCTCCACTCCAGCTGCCGCTGCTCCTGCCTCTTCCTCCAGAGACTCTACTCTCTCCGGCCTCGGGCCCTCCCTGACCACACTTTCTGTCTTTCTCCTCCCTCTGTGCAGTATCCCCTAAAGGATACTTCCTCCTAGGAAGTTCCTATCATCATCATCATCCCTAGAAGAGACTGAGAGCTAATGCTCTGATCACCCACAAGGTTCCCTCGTGGAGTGTGCAGTGCCATTTCCCACCTTTTCCTGGTCAACTGTCTAATAATCTGTAATTGCTCCCCGTTGTTTCTCTAGCCCTTAGCACAGCACCTGGAACACAGTAGGGGCTCTCCAAGTACATTCTTCATAAACAGATGAGAAACCAAACCAGTCAGACCAGGTGTGCACACCTGTAATCCCAGCACTCGGGAGACCGAGGCAAGAGGATCAAAAACTGAGCCCAGCCTGGGCAACATAGTGAGACCTAGCTCAGAAAAACAAAACATAAAAAGAAACTAATCACTCAGATTTATTAGTTGCAAGCAGCAGGAACCACAGTGCAGAGTCAGAAAGGCATCGAGTTTGAGGGCTGTGGGGTAGCTCATGGAACCCCACAAGCACTTTCTAGAACACCAGGTTCAAAACCACACTGCAAAACAGCAGCCCAAGCCAGGGGCTAGTCTTGTTTGGAGAAGGCACCACTGCCACCTTCCATGGAGTCAGACTCTGCAGCTAGGACCACCAGCATCTCCAGTCATGCCCCCTTGACCCCTCCTGCCCAGCACAGCTCTGCCCCTGGTAGCCTGGCCCTACTGTTTCTTTGCATCCTTAGCTATTGAGGAAGAGACTGAGGCTGGGTATTTACGGAGTCTGGGTCATACGCCCACATTCCAGCTGCAGAAAGCCTGGGCAAGGGAGGGCTTTGAGTGTCCATTTTCTTGAGAAGGAGGTGGACTCTGTTCCCACCCAGAGCCGCAGGCTAGGGGTTCCCTAGGAATGAGGTACACATGCTGAATAATTATAAAAAAGGGAAACATCCACAACAGTGACCAACCGAAGCCTTTAGGCAATGTGCCTCCTTCCCTTGTCTCAGTCTGCTCATCTGCAAAATGAAACATGTTCCTCTCTAAGCTCCTGTAGCTGAATATAGCTCCCTGCTGTGAGTTGGCCTTGGGTACTCTCCTGTTGGTCTCTCTGGGTCCCTGAAAGACCACAGCTCAACTGGATAACCTGGTCCCAAGGCAGGGTCGAGGCAGCAGTAGAGATCTCACACATTCTCCTCTGAATTTCATTTCATGATCTCTCTTCTCCTTGGCCATGCTAGCTGCATGTCTCCCCACTGCAACAAGGGAGCTAAGGAAGTGAAGTCTTCTGGGTGCTCAAAAAGAAAGGGGGTGGCATATGTATGAGCCCCTTAATTCTGCCGTGGACCTGAACTCAGAGGAGATAAGGAATCAAAGAACTGGCCAGGACTGCAGAGCCAATTTTCTGCTAGAATATTCAGTGTGATTTAGGAAAAAAAAAAAAAAACCCTGATTTTAGAATGGCTAATGGATCTGACTGAGGCCTGTGGGGTGGAGGTGGCACCTTGTCATGGAGTCACTGGGTCTTAAATGCCAGGAAATGGACAGACCTGCAGCCCCTGCCCCTCTAGGCGGCAGCTGCCTTGCTGTTTGCTGGGGTCTCTGCAGGCGTGTGTACACAAGGGACAATCACATTAGCATTTTGCATCATGACGTACTCTTACTACCTGACATGTGCTATACCATATATTTTTGATTTTTCTAATAATGTTATTATTTATTAATAATCACAGCTATAGCTCTATAAGTGTATTATAAACTAATTTAATCCTCACCACATTCTTATCATAAAGGTATCATTAGCATTATTTTACACATGGGGAAACTGAGACACAGATTTTTTTTCATAGCTCACCTAAAGTGTAAAAGCTAAATGTGGAAGAGTTAGTATCATAGCCAGCAGCCTGGCTCTGAGCCTAGATCTCAGACCACGAGCCACATTGCCTGTGACAGTGTCCCCAAAGGCCAGACCAAGATGCACACTTGCTCCATAGACCACATGGAGCAGCAGAGGCCACATTCGGAACCTCCAAGGTTCACATTCTGAGCTGATGTGACTTCACAGGACAATGAACCTCTGCCACCCATGCACAAGCAGAAACTAATCGGAACAAGGCACGTAAACAAGCAGCAAACCTCCAAGTACCCAGAAACAGCCAGTAATGGACAGAACCAAGGAAGGAGAGCAAACA